CACATCTAGGGGTAGGGTGTCCCGATTCTTGTTGAGATAGAGGGGTAGGGTGAAGTGTTGGGGCTACATGGTCCTCCAAATAGAGGTTTTTCAGAGTCTTCAAACAGAGTGATATGAGGAAAAAAGAAAAACCAGCAAAATGGCTGAACAAGAGACCAAAGAAACCCACAAATGTGAGAATTTTCTCTGTTAAAAAATTACTATTAAAAATTGTAATATCTTTAATGTCGCTTTAATGAATTATGATCCTATTAACAATAAAAAACATGAATAGTATGCCAATGCCTCAGTGAATTTCTCATTCCACCTTAAAAGGTGCAGCAGTTCTGATGCCTGAGGCGTCAGAACGTAACTGCTGCTCCATTTAAGGTGGGATGAAAAAATGTGGATGAGAAGCAGGCAAATAGCTGACTTCAGCTTCATATCACTGAAGAATTAGTGGCGGGCAATAATAAATAATTGCCCCCCCCCTTTGAAGGCATATGATTGCCTAAATGTAACTAAAGCCCAGCAGTGAGAAGCTGAACTTTACCCTCCTCTGCTGTCACTGCAGACTGGCAGGGTCGCCTACAGAGCAGCTCTAGTAGCTGTTAATGAAGTGATGCTCTTTTTATTTGAGGGTCCCATTTCATAGAGGAAGATTTTAACCACTACCTGTAACTTAGTTCCAAGGGGCAAGGGGTAAATCAAGGGGTAGGGGTAAAGATAAGAAATTATATTGGGTCAGAGAGTGAGAGACACAGAGTGAGACAGACAGAGACAGAAAAAAAAAACACACACAAAGAGAGAGATAGAGAGACAAAGAGAGAGATCAAAGAATGAGTTCAGAGAGAGCATAAGGGAGCAGCATAAACAGATAGAGAGAGACTCGGTCTCAGCAGGTCTGCTGCTGTTCTGCTCTCTCAGCACTTCCACACTGTCCGGCGTGTCTGGAATAATAAATACACACAGCACACACTGCACCATCTACGCCTCACACCCACCTCCTCTGTGTGTGTGTGTGTTAGCCTGTGTATACATGCGTCTTTACTGTCAACAGAGTCAGAGTCCATGTGGTTAGAGAATAAACGAGAGAATAACTGTTTCTCAGACAGAGTCATTCATGTTGAACGACGTTCTGAACCACTTTATTAGCGGCCACTTTATTAGAAACCCCTATCTTGTACTTCCACTTTGTAGTGAGTGGTACGGCCAAACGTTTATATCATGGTACAAATTACATTTCTTTATTTGTTCAATATAGTGTATGTACAGTGCGGTACATCAGGGGCTCATCCTTACGTTCCTGAGCCCTTCATTTTCTGACTAATATTTGTAGGAAACAGCCATGTTCCCCCGGCTCTGTGTTCCCTTTTGCAATTTTGTAAATAGCCCTATATTCCCAAGGCCCTATACTCCTCTATGGGACCTTTCACAGGAAATAGCTCTTTGTTCCTGTGTTGCTTTAATCATATTTTCTCTATGTAGAGATGAGACTAAGCTCCACACCTCTGGTCTATCTGTCTCCAAATAGATTCTCTCATTGAAACGCACTGTAATCGAACATCTCAGTGATCAAGAATGAGGATCTATTTAACAATAAGTAGCATTTTAATGTTCTTATCCTGTCATTGTTGTCATGATTTTGTTTGAACATCAGAATATTCACAGCATTGCAACACTTCACCAAAATTTGCGCTAACAATGAGTGCGTTTACATGCACTCGATAATCTGATCGTAATCAGATTTTCACAGTTATCTGATTATTCAAATGGTCATGTAAACAGCACAGTCCGATCTAGAAATCTGATTAAGAAATCTGAAATAGAGAGCTGGATTTTAGCTCAGTAATCAGATTTCTCAGTGCATGTGTACCCTTACTCTGATTTCTTTCGGATTCCTCAGTCTGCGCATGTGCGAAAACAGACCGCAGTACTGGAAATAAGATGCAGAAAAACACTTTTGGAGTGACGCTGAAACCAACTACATTCTCGACAAGATGAAGGATTTAAATATACTTTATCTTCTAGATGATGTATGTTCATGTTTTCAGGTAAAGTGGCTCAATGTTTTTAAAAAAAATAGCCGTGGCATTAAGTTTGACTTTTACATTACATTTCCGTCACGTCTCTTCTGTGAGAAGAAGCTTTCCTGGATGCAAAGCAGAAATCTGATTACTGTCTGACTCACGTAGACCAGGAGTTTCACATTATCTAATTACACAAGTGCATGTAAACATGTTGATTTTCTGCAGTTATCGGATTATTAACTGCATGTAAATGATTCTTTAAGCACTTCCTTAAATGACAGCATCAACACTCCATGTCAACACTGATTTTACCAGGTGCTTCACATCAACTTCCCCTCATCATTCACCCTCAAAGCAGCTTAGGTTTGTCACATTATTCTGCTAAGTGCTAGTTACTAAGCACTGAAAATATAGGACCCTGGGTACATAGAGCCTGGGAAAATAAGACCCTGGAAACATAGGATCCTGGGAAGATATGACCCTGGATACATAGGGCTCTGGGAATATGGGATCCTAGAAACATAGGATCCTGTTATTATAGGACCCTGGGAATATAGGACCCTGGGAACATAGGACCCTGAAAATATAGGACACTGGGAATATAAGACCCTGGAAACATAAGATCATGGGAATATAGAACCATGGGAACATAGGACCCTGTAAATATAAGACACTGGGAATATAAGACCCTGGAAAATAGGATCCTGGGAACACAGGTCCTTGAAAATATAGGACACTTGGAATATAGGACCCTGGAAACATAGGATCCTGGGAATATAGGACCCTGGGTACACAGGGCCCTGGTAATATAGGACCCTGGTAACATAGGACGCTGGGAACATAGGGCCCAAAAAATATAGGACACTGGGAATATAAGACCCTAGAAACATAGGATCCTTGGAATGTAGGACCCTGGGAAAATAGAGCCCTGGGAACATTGGGCTCTGAAAATATAGGACACTGGGAATATAGGACCCTGGTAACATAGGATCCTGGGAATATAGGACCCTGGTAAAATAGGGCCCTGGGAACATTGGGCTCTGAAAATATAGGACACTGGGAATATAGGACCCTGAGAATATAGGACCCTGAGAATATAGGACCCTAGATATATTGGGTCCTGGGAATATAGGACCCTAGGAACATAAGACCCTGGAAACATAGGATCCTGGGAAGATAGGACCCTGGGCACATAAAGCTTTGGAAATACAGGACTTTGGGAATATCTGTACATTTCCCATATCAGCTAGTAAGTTACCTAACTGTAACTAGCAAGCAATGCAGGTAATTATCCAAACTCGATGCTTTAGAGAGGCACATTTAGGTTATTAATTGTGGTTATTATGTGTGTGAATAGCAGTGCTGTATATTGTTTCATGTTCGCTAATCAATTAAGATAACTAGCAGAAGAGTAGCTGTTCGCCACATTACAATCGCACAGAATGACCAAAAAGACAATTAAACTGATTATGGTGGTTATTATGACATTCTCTCAGGCAGGATAGCGAACTAAAATTGTAAGTTCTGTTGGTTCCCATTTGGGTCAGTGGAAAAACACCCCATATAAACCACACTTATGCCGTCCCAGTGTGGCGCTAGCGTGCACTTATCGGATTTATACTGGCTCAGTGGTAATCACTTCTCTTTAAGTATGATGGAGCAGTGCTGAAACAAGCTAGACAACAACCTACAATAGCTCATAATGCGCAGATGATGAGTGTGTATGGGTGCGAATGGGGACAGATGCATATGTATGTGCGTGTGTGTGTATATGGGTGTGTGTGTGTGTGTGAGTGTGTGTGTGTGTGTATATGGGTGTGTGTGTGTATATGGGTGTGTGTGTGTGAGTTCTCTGTGCAGGTGCAGCTGCATCTTCTCTCAGCAGCACGTATGATGACAGATGAGGCTAATCCACAGGCCAGCAGGAGAGCACACGAGCCGAACTTATAATTAAATAATTTATCATAACCAGAGCCACACACACACACACACACACACACACACACACACACACACACACACTCACACTCACACACACACAGCTCACAGAGGTCCTCAATTCCTGATAAACGACAGTATGAAATGTACACGGGAGGCCATGCGTGTTTTCTTCTCCTCAGCCTGCGTCCTTCCTCTTACACTCGTCCTGCTTTATTAGTCCATCTTGCTTAACTGTCACAGCTTTATTTCTTCAGTACTAGTACATCTCTCTCTCTCTCTCTCTCTTTCTCTACTCTCACTCCTTTCTGTCTCTCAATTACTTCTTTTTTTCTTTCACGTTTCTTTTTCTCTCTCTCTCTCTCATTCCTTTCTGTCTCCCCTTTTCTTCTCTCTCTGTCTCTGTCTTTACTCTTTCAACTCTCTCTGTTTATATCTCATTCTCTCTCTTTGTATCTCTCTCTCTCGCTCAATTTTCTCCCTTTTTCTTTCACTTTTTTCTCTCACTCTCTCTCTTTCTTTGCCTCACTCTCTCTCTTTACTCTCTCTACTCTCTGTCTGTTTATCTCTCTCTCTCTCTCTCTCAATTCTTTCTCTCTCGCTCTTTCTTTCACTTGTCTCCCTCTCTCTCTGTTGCTCTTTCTCTCCATCTCTCTTTATTGACAGCACTCTAAGGGGACAAGTGGACCCCAGCAATTCTAGCAAAATGCCCCCACAGCATAACAGAGCCACCGGACCCCCTCCCTGTAGGGGTCAAGCATTCAGGCCTGCACTTGTGGAGAATCTGAAGGATGGTGCTCATATTGGACCAATGCTTCTAAATCAGGTCGAAATAAAGTCACTGTTCCTCCTGAAACACCAGCCAGGTGAGCAATCTTAGTAACGGAAGCTTCTGCCGTCTGTACCTCGATAATGACCCGCCTTTCTAAGTCACTTAGATCTCTTCCTCTTCAAAACCGAGGTCAACTGGACCTGCTCCTTACTGTCATCGGCCTCTACTGCATCCCACCCTTACTGTGTACACACAAACTCCCTCGGCCCCCGCACTCTCACCTGGTACCGAAGTGCCCAGTGCGACGAACACCACGGCGGTCACTGAGTCTTTGAGGCCCACGGTGCAGCCGAAGTGCGAGGCCAGGTCCCCGATGAACCCGGTGAGGATTCCGATCATGCAGATGGACACGACGAAGCACGCCCAGCCGTTCCAGTAATCAGTGGGCGGCACGAAGGCGAAGAGGACTTTCCAGAAGACGGTCAGGAAGTGCATGACGTAATCGAAGCAGGAGGGCAGCTTCTCCTCTCCGCACTCTTCATCATCATCATCCTCACCTGCAAAGCGAGAAGATCAAACGATGTAACCACTTTATGCAGAACAGAACAAAAATTTAGACCTTAGAATCGGACTTTAGACTAAAACCCTTTTGCTTCGAGTGACCCAGTTCCTTAATTATGTTTATTTTATTTAATAGATGATCGAATAGAAACAATCATAACACCACCGAAACTTACCAGATGTTTCGTTGGTGACAATTTCAGCTAATTCTGAGCAAAACTCAGAAACGCTAGCCATTGCATGACTAGCAAACACAGCTTCGAACATTTGTATACATAAAAAAAGATATTTTTATTAAAACGCAAAAAATGTTTACTTAATTGCCGAAAATCTGTGTTTCGGTAGTGACAATTCTTAATGTTACACACTGATTTTCAGATTTTGGGACACATTTACTTCAAAACAGTGGGATCTAACTGCTCACTATGTGGTCACGAGGGACAGGGATGCAGTCTCACTTCCTGCTCTAAAATGCCGGGGCGTGGCTAAAACAAGGCTCCGCCTATTTGTGTTCTGCTCTTTGTATGTTTCGGTAGTGACATGAAAAAGTGGGGCAGTATTTTTTGAATTTTTTTTTTTTATTTAAAAATGAAACTTATGATAAATCTAAATGTTTCACTTTGAATCACTTCACTTTGAAAGAATTCCAAAAGATTAAAAAAAAAACGAAAAAAGAAAAAAGTAAGTATCATTGGGTATTATGTATTATGAGGGTTTGGGACGGTCACCTCCCAATAGAAAGTACCATATAAATGACGATTCTGTAAATATTTAGCTAATTACTAAAATTATTAATACCTTAAGTTTAAATAGATAATAACATAATCCTTACAACTACCAGGTCATCATATTTGATTATGTAGAGTCACAATTAAAAAAAAAAAACTGCACAGGTCGTTTTCTTCCCGTATTATTTTCATTTTATTCTCATTTTCATCTTCGTTTGATCAATAAGTTGAAACTGAAATTGCTTTAGTATCATCAGTGAATGGGTTTTTCAGCTCCTTGGTTTTAGAAAATGCCAGTAATTAAAATAAATACATGCGCTGTGCAAAACATTATACAATAAACTACACACATAAGAAAGAACAGAGAGAGAGCCAATGAAAAGAGTGTGTATGGAGAAGAAAGTGAGAGAGAAAAGAGATAGAAAGAGTAGAGTGATAGAAAGAGAAAAATGTGGATGAGAAAGAAAGATAGGAGAGAGAGAGAGAGAGAGAGAGAGAGAGAGAGAGAGAGCAAGGGCTTAGGTAATATTTGATGTGCTCAAAAGCTGCAAAGCCAGAAAGAAAACAACACACAAACGTCTGTTTGAAACACACACACACATACACACACACACACACACACACACACAGCCATCAAAGTCCAGCGCTTCAGGACTTTGTGTGAAAACGAGTGGACGCCCCTCTCTGTGCAAAAAACAGCCGAGAACAACCCTCAGAAGAGTAGAGAACACTCTCTGAGAGCCCAAATTACCTTGAAAGCACACAGAGAGCAGCTCCTCTGTCAGGTACAGCACTTTAAAGAAGGATTACGTGTGGCTGGATGTTCGTAAGCTTTAGCTTCAGCTTCTCAGCCACCGGAGCACAAAGCCAAACGGATTTGAAAGCTATCAAAGGATTCGCTTATTGTTTTGCTCCCATACTCGCTTTCAATTCGAGTGACTGTCACAATAGAGCCTGTGTGTTTACAACAGTGGGACAAAAGCTTGCACACACACATTTACACTGAATTATTCATGCACAACAAGGCTCGATACAGGTGAACAGGCAATTCTGAATCAAAGCAACAAATCTAGACATTGAGAAAGAGTCATTTAAACTCATCTGATAGAGTTGACTCTTACGATTCAGACACAGCGATATGAGATCAACTGAACTGTTTGACAGAGTTGACTCCTGATTCAGACAGCGCAATAGGAAATTAGTCGGATAGTTTGATGGAGTTGATTCCTATGATTCAGATACAGCAACAGGAAATCGCTTGAACTATTTGATGGAAATGACTCATGATTCAGATGTAGCAATAAGAAATCCATGTGATCATTTGATGGAGTTGACTGCTGTGATTCAGATATGACAATAGGAAATAATTTGAATCGTTTGATCGAGATGACTCATGATTCAGCCATTGCAAGGGGAAATTTCAATCATTTAATGGTGATGACTCTCAGATACAGCAATAATTTGATTTGATTTGATCAAAGCAACAAATTCCGAATCATTTAAATCATTCAATGGAGCCGACTCTTACGATTCAGATACAGCAATAGAAGACTGACTGAACTGTTCGATGGAGTTGTTCTTATGATTCAGACAGTGCAAGAGGAAATTAGCTGGATTGTTTGATGGAGTTGACTGCTGTGATCCAGATGTGGATAGGAAATCATTTGAATCGTTTGACTGAGATGACTCATGATTCAGACATAACAACAGGAAATCATTTCAACCATTTAATGGAAATGACTCTTGTGATTCAGATACAGCAATAAAATAATCATTTTAATCATTTGATGGACTGCTGTGATTCAGATATGGCAATAGTATATTATTTGATCATTCAATGGACTTGAATCTTATTATTACGATATGGCAACAGGAGACCATTTGAATCATTTGGCGAAACTCTTATGATTCAGTTATATGGAAACACTACAATATGAATGGTTTTATAAAGTCGACTCCTATGATTTAAACATGCCAAAAGAAAGCTGTTTGAATTGTTTGATGGAGTTGAAGCTTATGGTTCAAACGTAGCAAAAGGAAATTATTTGAATCATTTGATAGAAATGACTATTGCGATTCAGACATGCCAACAGGAAATCATTTGAATCATTTAATGGAAATGACTCTTATTTTTAAGATATGACAAGAGGGAATCGTTTGAATCATTTGATGAAACTGACTCTTATGATTCAGTTACAGCAATAGGAAATTAGTTGGATTGTTTGATGGAGTTGACTCCTATAATTCAGATGTATAGCAACAGGAAATCATCTGAATCATTCGATGGAGCTGAGTCTAATCCTTCAGTTATATGAAAACTATAATTTGAATTGCTTTATGGAGTTGACTCTCTGATCCATCAAAGGAAACTGTTTGAAGTGTTTGATGGTGCTGGCATTTATGATGATAATGGTAATAGGAGATTATTTAAATCATTTGAGGAGCTGATTCTTATGATGCAGATATGGCAATGAACTGTTTGATGGAGTTGACTCTTTTGATTCAGATATACAGCAGTAAGAAATGCGATTTAGTGTGATTTCCTTAGCAAAGTCTCTTTGAAAGATTCATAGCAATAAATTCCAACAGAAATTCTGCCCTGAGGATGAGGTGATATACGTCAATCTCCAGCCCAGAGCCGCCTCAGAAGAAACTACTGGGATATTAAAATGATTTATAGATGTGTTTGGATATTTTATCATATCCAATCTCCTCCATATCCTCCGACTCAATGTCCTTCCATAACAGCCAGAGGGACACTCAGAGGGACAGAATTCATTTTTACTGTATGCTCACACACACACACACACATACACACACTCATGCACGTTAGCTGGAGTGTGTTTCAGGGGCTTCATATGGTCCGTATAGGCTAATGATCTCAGTGGTGGTTATTAATCTCTGCTGGGCTTTCCTCTCTCATACAGAGCATATTAACCCCTGAACTAACCACGCATGACTCAGATTAGCAGCAGAAGCACCTCATACTCACTGTGTCTGCATGTGTGTGTTTGTTATCGAAGGATTTAAATATTAATCTTCTAGATAATGTATGCTCATATTTTCAGGTAAAGTGGCGCGATGGTTTAAAAAAAAAGCTGTGGCGTGAGGTTTGAGCTTTACGTTACGTTTACTTCTCGTCTTCTTCTGAGTTTATTGGCTGGTTGCAAAGCAGAAATCTGATTACTGTCTGACTCATTTAGATCCGGAGTTTCCCCATTATCTGATTACTCAAGTGCATGTAAACACGTTGATCAGATTACTGACAAAATCTGATTTTCTGCAGTTATCGGATTATTACGTGCATGTAAACGCACTCATACTATAAAAGCAGTATGATGGCAGATCGATGTTTAAACTTCATACTTTTTATGTTTTTATCATTACAAATAATTAGGAGGAAGCTGTAAACAAGCAAACAAACAATCATACATTCAATAAACTAATTAACAAACTAACCAATACCAATTTAATAAACTAACTGTAGTAATTAGTTTAATTAAATGACTAAAACATCTAAAAAGTACTCTTTGTTATCTAGGATAGTGTATTTAAATGTATAAGATGTTATTTCTATACAAAATAACAAAAAATGATTAATATAAAAAGTGATTCCAAATGTTTTAACGCACATTTTTTATTAGTATTATTACATATAGATACTCATATATATAATACATGTGGCACATATTATCACATATAGGTATTTATGTATTTGTAATACATATGGGACATTATTAAATATAGGCATTTAGGTTTATTTAATATATAAAGGACATATTATTATCAAATATAAGTATTTATGTATGTAATAACATTATTATAAGACATAATGTGGCATATTATTACTACATGATTATGAATATTAATTACATATTTTACACACAGGCACTTCACTTCGCTATACGTACACACTGCAGGCACAGACACATGCGAACGCTCAGAAAACACATAACACTGCACAGATGTACTCAAATCCACTAAACACTCTCGCTCACTGCGGAGTGTTTAAGCTTGTGCGTCTGTGTTTGTGCGTCGTGTGTAAGCGTGTTAGTTTTATCTCCGTGGCAACGGTGTGTGAGCAAACCATGCCTCACTCTTCACTCACACATTTCACAGCTCTGTGCGCACAAAGCTGACACACACTAACAGTTTATCTCAGGCAGCGTCAGGAGCTTAATATCTACAGATAAACTGAGCAGGAATAAACACACTATGACATTTAGGAGCCTTTAAAGCACAAGTGCTTCATTTTACTGCGCTGACTGTGGCCTTTCAGTGACGTTCCCTCGGTCCCTGCATGTGTGTGTACACTGATGATAAACAGAACGGCTCTCCGACAGCTGTACTCAGCATCATTACAGAGGTACTGATAGGTAATCTGACGCCATTAACTGCTCCAAGCACCCTTTCAGCAAAAACGATACTAAACTTCATGGCACAAAGGCCTGTCACTGCTGTGGGAGCCTTCAGTGTTTGTCTACAGTAACTTTACTTGCACCATATTCCTTTGCACTTGTTTGTTTTTAAGTTTAAGTACTATTGGGACAAGACAGGGGTGGCGCTATACCTCCAAAAGTGGTGGGGCAAGACACATTGCTTCCAAAAAAAAAAGCATCTGGCTGAGTGATGAAATGCAGTTAGGCCACTGACAGAAATTGCCTTTCATGTCATGCTAACATGTCTTTATTAACCTATTCAGAGGTGGGTAGTAAGTAGTTTACTCAAGTAAGGTTACATGTACTTAAGTAAATATTGATGGATTTTGATTATTTTCAGATCATATTACTTTTACTTCTACTAAAGTGAGTAAAGGAACCTTTTAACTCTGTTTCATTTTAGCCAATCGTATTTAGTTACTAATTCTATTGTTTGTGTTTAATTTCAATGTTTCGATGGTGGCAATTCTTGTACTGTTTTGTTATTGGTTACATCTCTGACTTTGGAGCTCTGAATTGTAGACCACAAGATTCCCAAAAGGAGATGCACAATCTTCAGTTCCTGTGCTGATAAATGCTGGGTGTACTCAGAAGTTCCACTGCAGTGCTCAGCACTTAAGTAGATTTTCGACCTGCTTCTTTTGTATTTCTACTCAGGTTGTTTTAGTGAATACTTCATACATACTTAATTATTTTATGCAAGTATCAATACTTTTACTTGAGTACTGATTTAGGCTCCACTACCCACCTATGAACCTGATCACGAACAGTGTCTGTGTTAGTTTTGATGCTGCTTCAGTAGCTGCAATCTCAGATACCAGTGTTTGTTAGCTAACATCTCTGAAGAACAGGCTGTTTTCATACCCAGCTCATTTTCTAAAGACCCACCACAGTTTTGTTGAGCACATGGTGGCGTAGTGGGTAGCACTGTTGCCTCACACCAAGAAGGGCCTGGGTTTGAATCCCTGGCTGGGTGACCAGGGTCCTTTCTGTGTGGAGTTTGCATGTTGACTGCATGGGTTTCCTCCCACAGTCCACTGACATGCAGTCAGGACATGCTAAATTGTCCCTAGGTGTGAGAATGTATGTGTCAGTCTGTCTGCCCTGTGATGGACTGGCGACCTGTCCATGGTGTTTCCTGCCTTCCGCCCCATTTAAGGGGGTTAAATGCTCACATTTATGCTCTGGTGAGATTGATCAGTCCAAAAACGTCCAGTGCTCCACCGTCAGACCTATTAGGCAGGTGATGACTGGCTAAAACTGACCCATATACACATGTTACACAGTCACGCACGCACTTGACCTTGCTCTGCCCTGTGGCTCGGACTGGCCCACTGAGAAGTGCTTGAGTGTGAATTGCCAACACCTGATCCACACACACACACACACACACACACACACACACACACACACTATGGGAGCAGTAGGTGACTCTAGGGTCATCGCTCTGAGATCATACTGTGAGTAATTACTATCTATGGTCAAGAGCACAGATAGCTTTCAGCCTCTCTTTCTCTCTTATTTCACTTTCCTTCTATTTAATCTCTAATTTCAGCCAATACTGAAGTCATTCTGCTGATAATGTCTGCATACGAAAATGGTTAAGATGTAATCAGAGTCATTCAGAGTGGTTTGATATGAAATGCTCTGTTCGAGAGAAACTTACTGAGTCAGAGTTGTTCACAGCGGTGGTGGTCATAGGAACCAGACTTCTGAAGATAAAATTACCTCACATAAAGTAAAAAAAACCTGAATTTTCTTTGCTTTTTAAATAAAGGAGTCACTATACAGTCCATATATGGACATCTTGAATTCACTGTTTTTGTGATTTAATAAAAAATAAAAGAACACATTTACATACATCTGCCTATTCAGTTTACAGCAGTTTAGCCCCACCCATTCACACTAAATTTATAAGTGTTATGAGGACTGTGTGAGTCTGTACGTTTCTCTACAATGAACCCTTTCGCACCAAACCACTCTGAATGACTCTGTTTACATCTCAACTATTAAATTATGCAGGGAATTTGGTTTGGTGGAATTCCCCTTTAAGAATTCCGTATCCAAACTGAGAAAAATGAGAGGCAGTTAAGTATCGCTGTTGTCAGAACAAAACCTCGTATCTCCAAAATGGTAACTTTACAGGAGAAGGAAAAAACATACTTCACTTTTAATGTGAGTCAATGGAGCCAGACATTTGTCCAAGTCATTTTGGGCCGTTTCTTTTGATCCGTTCATCAAGAAATTCACAAACAATGTAAAGGCCGACAGGTGTTTTCAAATTAGGCCAAAAACTGAAAAATGTCAAAAATGGATATACAAGGTTGTGTTCTGTCAACAGCAATATATAGATTTCTATAGATAAATAATGCAAATTATATTGCATGTATTGAATACATTGTACAACTTCCTACAGTGCTTGAGTTGTACTGTAAACACACCAGCAGGGGGAGCCTATCAGAGGTGGGAGAGTGAACACAGACATTGTAAAGACGCACATACGCACTCGCACACAAACTTACCAGCGCTGACTGTAATGGCCTCGATGAACTGATCTCTCCAGCTATTGGTGCCAACCAGCAGAGCCAAGTTAGTCTTTTTGATCAGCTTATCAACAGTGTTCTGCAGAGAGAGAGAGAGAGAGAGAGAGAGAGAGAGGGAGAGGGAGAGAGTGTAAGTGAATGATGGTATCAATGATACCCTCAGACCACCCAGATTATTATCCTGCATACAAGTTCTAACTAGTTTTTAATCTCCTCAAACAGATTTTAAATGCACACAGTCTTTTATTTTGGAAAATAAAATATGACAAATCTTACAAACAGTTGAGAGAAGTTGATGACAAGGCCTAATATAAAATGATTTTGTTGAAAATGTTGCTGACACTGTGCTAGATTGGTTACCGCTGTATAACCAGCTTTATTTATGATATCACTATTATTTACATTTTTTTATGATATTATTCTGATACACTTCAAACGGAGCAAAGAAACCCACAAATGTGAGAATTTTCTCTGTTAAAAATTATAATAACCATTGTATCGTCTTAGTTTAATGTGGTTTATTGTGCCTTTCTTTATAACAAGCATATAAAATCACGAGTAGCATACTGATATCTTGGTGGCTAGCTAAATGTCCCGTTCCACTTTGAATGGTGAGGTGCCAGAATGTAACTGCTGCACCCCCTCTTTGAAGGCATATGATGCCCTAAATGTAACTAAAGCCCAGCAGTGAGGAGCTGAACTTTACCCTCCTCTGCTGTCACTGCAGACTGGCAGGGTCGCCTACAGAGCAGCGCTAGTAGCTGTTAATGAAGTGATGCTCTTTTGATTTGTGGGTCCCATTTTGTAGGGAACGATTTTAACTCCTGTAACTCAGTTTTAAGGGGCAAGGTGACACTCGAAAACAAGGGGTAGGGTAAAAATAAGAAATGGGATTGGGCCTTTGTTTTATGAAGCAGAAGTTGGCCTAAAACGTATTTTTAAAACTTCATTCACGGTGGAGGAGTACATGCAGGATGTTGTGGGGCAAAACAGTCCCCAAAGAAAACTTCGTTTTTCAGATTTACTGCTATTTTACTATTATCATTACATATAAAAGCACGTGTAGGTTCACTGGTGGTTTTGGGTAGTAAATATAATGTCTATATCTGTGTTGTAGTCATGGTGACCCCTGGTTCCTATCACCACCACTGTAAAGAAATCCGAGACTGTAAGTTTCTCTACAGTGAACCATTTCACACCAAACTGTTTGTTTACTTCATAAAAATGGACTTGAAAATGAAGTAACTGGGTTACTTACTTTTTTAAGTATAAACACTGAATCATCTCTTAATGTTCATAAGTGGATCTTAAGAAGAAAGCTAAGTAAGACAGAAGACAAATTTACGATCTGGGTCCTTTAAAATCACACATCTCATCAGTTCTCACTCAAACCACAGCACCTCTCCCGGTAGAACTGATCCAGCTCCAGTGCAGCTTCAGGTGCTAAATTACAGTAAAGGTTCTAATTCCTCATTTGTTCTTTTTCCCTCTGTCTCTTCCACACTCGTTAGGCCCACTTGAGACAGTGCAGAACACAGAGAGCTTTGAGCCTCTGAAGTCCGACTCATCAGGCAGCCTCACTGTGAAGTGTGTGTGGGCTTCGAGTGCGTGTGTATGTCTGGTAAAGAGTGTGCGTGTGGGCCGAGGGGCTGCGCAGACGAGCTTAAAGTGTCTGTCTGTTCAGAGTGACTCCATGCGTGTGGATGTGTGTGTCCGTCTGGTGGAAGCGTAGGCAAGAGTTCTGAAAAGCACTTAAGAGTCCATTTCATTACATGGTCCATGCATGTGTGTGTGAGGTGTAGGGATAAAGTATACAGGCATACAAATACAGTTATGGACACATATAGATGGACCATTCTATTGTATTAGTTCACAGGGCTTTAGGTTATGATATATTAATGTGGGCTGGAGGTTAGAGAACCAGCCCTGTGACTGGAGGGTCGCTGGTTTGATCCCCTGAGTGGACAGTACGTGACTGAAGTGCCAGTGAGCAAGGCACCTAACCCCCAACTGCTCCCCAGGCGCTGCGGATAGGGCTGCCCACCACTCTGGGCAAGTGTGCTCACTGCCCCCTAGTTTGTGTGTTCAATAGTGTGTATGTGGTGTTTCACTGCACAGATTGGTCAAAATGCGGAGGTGAAATTTCCCTGTTGTGGGACTAATAAGGGTCACTTAATCTTAAAACCTAAGGTATTAATTTAAATAAGATAAATATGTACAAAGTCATAATTTATAGGGATGTGTCCAAGTCCTAATCCCTAAATTTACACTTATATTACTTAAAATACTTATATATGCACCAGGGGTGTCAAACTCAACCCGTAAAAGGGCCATGTTAAAACATCTCAACAAATCTGTGGGCCTGAGAAAAAAAAAGTTTTTATTTCATTTTTAATTAATGTTGTGCTATAACCCAAAATGACCATTATTTATTCAAAATATGAAAATAAACCTCAACAGTAAAATACAGGCACTTGTGGTAGACCTTGAAACATTACATGGATACCTGAAATACTCTAAATTTAAATGTCCCCAGGTGCTCAGTCTTTTAAACCTGCTTGAACTAGACATCTGGCATCTTCTCTTTGCTGAAGGTTCGTTAAGACCTGGGCTCAGTGTCTGAGCTGAGCTGATGTTCTGTGTTTATATTGGTTGAACTGCAGCTAAATTGAACTGCAGCATAAAATTGAATTGAGGTGTAACCTCTGTCCCATAGACTGTTGTTGGGGTAGAAGAGTCAGAGCGCACATTACTTTGCAGTGCATGCTGGGGACTGTAGTGCAGCACATTGTGAAACGGGCTAATATTAATGGAAAATTTAAATACTTTTGCGGGCTGGAAAGAATTGTGGCCTGCGGGCCTGTGTTTGACACATGGGATATACACTAATATACTTACATTTTTTGTATTTTTTTCAATGTCTTAAAAGCCTAAATGTGCACAGATTCCCACAGACTCACTCCGAAGTCTTATGGAAAGCCTTCCCTGAAGTGTGGAGTCTGTTATAGCAGCGAAACCGCGGAGAGGGCAAATCTATATTAATGACCGTGGACTGGAACGGGAAGTCCAACAAGCTCATGTAGACATATAGTGTATGGTTGAAGGAGAAAAAGTGAGGCATTCAAACTCAACAATGCCTTGAAGCATGGTGGAGGTAGTATCATGCTCTATATAGGTCAGTTGTACCCATATATATGTCAGGTGGAACTCCTAGAGTGGTCAGTGAGTAAAAAAAGAGATAACTGTTCCTAATAAAGGACACTGAGTATATATGTACACACACACACACACACACACACACACACACACACACTTTTCTCACCTTGAACTCATAGGACTCCTCAATGATGACCTCCAGTTTGACGTGTTCTCCCAGCATGGGTTTGCCCATCTCCGCAATGCGCCGCTCCTCTTCCTCCTCCCCTGTCAGAGGCTCCTCCTCTTCCTTTCCCCCCTCCTTCACTTCCTCTGCAACAAAGAAATCAGTCCAAATGATTTACTTCTGCTTCAAGCTAAGATTTCAAAGCTGAATGAATTAGTAAATCTTTTGTTCCTGGTTCCGAGATTGCTAAGCAATCTAATTAACATGATTCTAAACTGTAATGCAATATAGCAATATAAGTTAGATTTATGTCATTTCACTGCTATATCTTATTTTACTCATATTTTACTGAGGCAAATACGAGGGCTGCACAATATGGGCTAAATACCAGCATTGCGATCATACTGCTACTATGGCCCTAGAAATAAAGACGTTTTCCATTTAAAAAGCAGCGTACTTTTCTTATGGTTATATAATAAGCTTCTTCAGAATGAATCAGAGTAATAATGAAATACAACTGATGTTCACATGTTTTCTTGCACAAAACACAGTTTATGACACAAACTACATAAAAAGCTATGAATATTCGGCTTGATAGATCAACCTTAAAGGGTTAAGAGCTGTGTTTGAGCGAGGGCTACAGATTCTGTCATAGGAACGTGAAGGGCGTGAGCAGCTGGGCCTCAACCTGCACTACTATGGATGGTTCAAAGGGTCAGACAAGAAAAATGCACTATGGACCACCTGACATGCTACGTATTTGCAATTTCTATATATCTTAATATATTTTAAATGATTAGATTTATAAAAACACACAAAAATATGTCTGGAAAACACAGTAACATTGAGTGTGTTTACATGATAACTGCCAAAAATCCGATTTTGTGTCTAATCTGATCAATGCGTTTACATGCACTTGAGTAATCAGATAATGGGAAACTCCACGTCTACATGAGTCAGACAGTAATCAGATTTCTGCTTTGCAACCAGCCAATAACACACAAACACACAGTAGAAGACGTAAACTTAATGTAAAACTCAAACTTCATGCCACGTTTTTTTTTTTTCACGGCACTTTACTCAAAAATATGAACATAAATCTTCTAGAAGATGAAGAATATTTTTTCTTTTCATCAAGAATGTAGTTGTTTTCACCGTCACTCCAAATGTGTTTTGCTGCGTCTCACGGCAACACTGCTTGCTTATTTCCGGTTCAGCTGTCTGTCCGGAGAGACATCCAGAGAAATCCGAAAGAAATCACAGTAAAGGATCTGATTACTGAGCTAAAATCCAGCTCTCTTTATCAGATTTCTAGATCAGAGCTGTTTTCATGACCATTTGAATAATCAGATAACTGCAGAAATCTGATTATGATCGGATTATTGAGTGCATGTTAACACACTCATTGTAAAAACACTGTGATTGGTTACATATGCTGTGATATCACTATTACTGTTTTCTGTTATAGAACAATACTGCAATAACAAACAACATATTGTGCAGCCCAGACTGATAATGATCTAAAAAAGAGAAAAGTGGATTGTAAATCATGTAATATTGCTGAAAACAGGAGGAAATTTCTCTAAATCACACAATATAAAGAATCATTTATGAGCAGAAGATCAGATATTGACCTTGATTCATGCAGAGTGGAGGAATCTGACACAGATGCAAGCAAAGGGAAGACTGAAATGCATGCAAACACACACACACACACACACACACACACACACACACTGCAGAGGTTCAATTTCTTCATTTGCTTACATTACAGTTGCCCTCTTGTGGCCTAAAGCAGAGGTGCCAGAGATCTACCACCCTGGAGACTCCAGATCCAGCACACCTGGCTCTAATATTCAGATGAAGGCCTTCATCACCTGGATCAGGTGTTAGATTACAGCTGGAGCTAAACTGTCCACTTCGCCTCTGTGTACATGCTTTTAAATATTTACATGTCGCTGATGTCGGAACAAAACCTTTACATTGTGTGTAAATTTCATGATGAATGGACCAAAATTTATTTAAAAAAAAGTCTGGTTCCATTGACTTACATTGAAGGTAAAGTATGTTTTTTCCTTCTCCTGTAAAGTTATCATTTTGGAGATATGAGGTTTTATTCCAACAGCAGTGATATGTAATATTTGTATAATGTACCTCTCCACTATCCCATAACTGTACAGATTGAAAGATATAGCATAAACTGCTATGGCACTCCTTACTTGCTGTATTTGCTCTTCTGGTTAGATGTGAACTGCGTTTCACTGGCTTTGCGCATGTAACTCTGCACAATGACAATAAAGTTGAATCTAATCTTGTCTAATCTAATGTATTCTAAACTCAGCAGAGTGGCAGAGGACCAGGATTGGACACCCCTGGTTTAGCAAGCTAGAGGTCTGTGGACCCGACCCCAGCCCATCAAAATATTGGGTTTCAGGCCGGGTTTAGGCCAGTTTTCTCATGCAACATCTGGTCCTCTTGGGTTTGTTTTCGATTGAGTGATTTTTTTTTATGTAGTAGATTTGTTTTTATTTAAAGGACATAAATTTCACGCACTCTCCCGCTTACTCTCTCTCTCTCTTAGCAGTACAGTCTACAGCTGCGTTCAGAATAGCTCCAGAGTTTGCAGGGTGGGTGACCGTGCCCCTGAATAAAGGCGAGTATGAAGTTCACCAGTACGCCAGTCACAGTACCACCATATGTTCTGGAACGTTTGTCCTAAATGTGGGTGGGAACGTAGACTATTTAGAGTGGGAATAAACTGAGAGTGAAATATCGAAACATTTTTTTTTTATCAGTTTGTTCCCACTCCCCCGTGAAGTTGGAGCTCAAAGCAGGGGGCGCTTGTCAACATTGTCCAATGGAGAAAGGCCCATGGATGCTAACTAAGTTAGCATAGTTAAAAAAGTGCCCCCCAAAAACTCCACTTAAGCTTGTAGATGTGTGTGGTGAACATATTACATGCAGTAAAAATAAACATTACATCCTGTATGGGAAAAACAGCTCTGTTAGCTAATGGTAGCATTTCACTAGCTAGCTTGTTTTGCTCGTGTTAGCATTTGTACTCCAGATGTTAAAAGGCTGTGGACTATAGGAATTTGGGGGCAGGCTTTAGAGGGGACGTACCCTTATCCAGCACCAAACGTTAAACAGGTTGTATTCTCGTTATGAGGCCACGTCTGGCCCTGTGAGACTATAGCAGCATTACTGTGAAGAGCTTTAGTGCAGTTAACAGTAGATCAGATGAGGGTAGAAGCCGTTCTCTGCCGGGTACAATCAGTACAATCTCTCAATAAATATACCGATAATAAATACTAGTAGTTGGTAAAATAACAGTTTATGCCAGAATGCCATGTACTGTCAGTCAACTTTGAGTCCCAGGGAACCTAAATCTGAGTTTTCTTTCTAATTCTAAGTTCATCTTGGGCCTAAAATGTACATGAACAAAGTATGTCTTATGAATACTAATAAATGTCTGCTGTATTTCACCATATTGCTCTCCTCTTGATGTAAACTGGGCAGTCCTAACAGTGGGTAATGCTTCCGTTAGCATTTCCTAACCAATCACAAGGTGGACATCTCTGGCCCCGCCCACAAAGGCCACCTCCAGAGTCAGAGAAACTTAGCTAAAGCTAACTGTTCGTCTGTTCCTTCATTCATGTGTTGCTTCGTCCAACTGTTTGTTCGTCCATCTGTCCGTCCATCTGCACATCTGCTTATGCGTGACATTATTCGTCCAGTTACCGTCACATAAAAGCTGGATAATCATTATAGTTCAGTATGAGGGGCGGAGCAGGCTAGGAGTGTTAAACAGAGAGCTGCCAATCAAGCTGCTCATTTCTTACACAGTTCTTAGTTGAGTTCCAAGCCATGTTTTATCATAAAGCCATGTTTTATCAAGAAACCATGTTTTATCATATTTATATCTTATGTTTTTCATTCAAGCTTTGCTGGACGTTTAATAGAACACAAGTTTAGTCTCATACAAACTTAATATTTTACTCTGGGACTTATTGGTGAATTACTGTAAAAGCGTAATAATCCACTTTCATCCACTGTAGTGGATTAGTGTGAGTGAGGGGGTTCGGGTCAGGTTCAGGTTTCAGGCCAGTCAGGCCTGGTCGGTCACCGGTATGGGTCAGGTTCGGGCTCAGTTTCATACCCATACAGACCTCTAATACAGACCCCAGATGGGGAGCAGAGGACACGGCTGGAAGATGGAAATGCTATGGAGTGATGTGGGATGTGGAAATGACCCCATTAGCTTAGCAACATTAGAGTCGAGGGAATGACACTGAATCTCACACACACACACACACACACACACACACACACACACACACACACACAGGGTGGGGAAGGAGAAAATTAAACTCCTCTTGGCAGTACCAGGTTGATTTGCAGGAGGAGACGACCTCTGAACTTATTTTTCATTCCCCCATCTGTTCTCTCCCTCTCTCTCTCTCTCTCTGTCTCTCTGTCTCTGTAAACCTCTCTCTGTATTTCTGAAGAGTTTGGAGTAAAAACACCTGCATGTTTCTTTTCTACATTTGCATTATTATAACATGATCGATTATTGTTGTAATAATATGATATTTTATGTATTTGTGATCATAAAACTTTGTAGCTCGTATTTATTTATGCATCTATTTATTACACCAGAAAAGTGCCTGTGGTCCTTTAACTTCTGTGAACATTTCATTAGAAATTTATAAATGTAGAATACATACATACATCATCTAAACCACTTATCCTTCTGGGTCGCGGTGGGGCGCTGGAGCCCATCCCAGCCGCCATTGGGCAGAATAGAATTTATATAAAATTATAAAAATATATAGTTATATTCTTGTCTGCCCTGCGATGGACTGGCGACCTGTCCAGGGTGTATCCTGCCTTCCGCCCAATGACAGCTGGGATAGGCTCCAGCACCCCACCGTGACCCAGAAGGATAAGCGGTTTAGATGATGTATGTATGTATGTATGTATGTATAGTTATATTCTATTATAATATATGAATATTATTGTAATAACATGACATTTTAAATATTTGTCGTCATCAAAAACTCCCTCCCTCCCTCTCTCCCTCTCTCTCTCTCTATCTCTCTCTCTCCTGATCTGTAAGATCTCTATGGGAAAAGACAGAAAGCGA